CGGTTATCCGAGTGGTAAGGAGACCACCAAATAAATGATAACTGATTTAATGAGCCATTCGCAGTTTTTTTTTTTTTTTTTTTTTTTTTTTAAACGCCCAGGTTGTTGTAGAGGCACGGCCTCAGGCACGGGGATGTTGTTCGAGGTTCAGCCACTTGAGGTTCGAGATGAGCCACAGCCCTTAGCTTTCTGGATCATCCTTAGACAGGTCCTTATAGAGGCTTTGAAGGCCCCTTCCTATCGCAAGCCGTGTCCCTGCCCGCACCTACCAGCTTGCCAATAGAGATCAGATTACTGCCCCTACAAATCCAACCTCCTACTGGGTGCTATTAGCCGCACTCTAAACAGTGTTGTCCTCCCTCCCTTGACTTAGTAGATCCTCTCTTAGGCCGATCCCCCCTTGGGTAGGTGTAGAGTCTTATCACCTTTAACCCCCGTAATCAGGAGACAGACCCCCTTTAACCCGAACCCAAGCTATACTTTATCGGTCATGTGTCCTCTTCCACTAGTCCCCTCATCTCCTATACCCTTCCACCTCATAGCCTACTTTATGCCAGGTCCTATGCCCCAGGATGGGCACTTTAGGTCCCTAGTATACTCAGTCCCACGCCCCTGGATGGGCACTTTGGGCCCCGGGTATCGTAGCTATGAGGGTATTCCTCATGTCTATTCACTCCCTAGAGACGACCAGCCAGCTAGGTGGTCCTAAGCTATTACGTGGTACACCTGCTGGACCAGCAGATAGACTGTAACTACTTGGGCTATCCAGGTAGTATTTCTACCTGTGGCGATTTCCCACCCACCCATGCAGTCTCCGTCGATGGCCCATACCGCTGCTGCATGTGGGTCACCTGCTCCCCTCTAATGATTGAATTACCCGTTAAGCCGGGTCATTCAGCCCTACCTACCACAATGCTCCTGTCCCCCCCCCTCACAAACACAACCCCTGAATAGAGGTCATTCGCAGTTTCACAGTGCAAAGTGTTCACACTTAGACGTGCATGGCTTAGTCTTTGAGACAAGCATATGACTACTGGCAGGAACAACCAGGTAGCGGGTGTGACGAGCAGCCGCAAGGAGCGATGGCCGAGGCGCACGTA